AATAGATTCTAGTCTGTAAAACCAAATTTTAGGTTCAGAAGTGTGGTTACGTGTAAGAAAGTTATGGCATCCTCACAATGCCTATCAAAAGATGGTACCGGTTTAATTCTAAATTATCCAAACAAAAAAATGTTTATGCTTTTACCAAAATATTAAATATTAAAAATTAGTCTTAAAATTATCCCAATAGTTTGGTAGCAATTTAAAACAATTCTCTCACATCAAGAGCATTTATAAGGACCAGTGTCTCACCTTGAAGAGGCTCCATCATCGAATTTATTAAGGTTTTTTTTTCGAAAAAAATCAATAAAGTCTCCCAATAGTTTGATATGACTTATTTTAAAGCATATCTAGTTTAGTGAAATTTTATTGTAAATAGATTTATAAAAATTTTGAGGATTTCATTAAGTCTCCTAATAATTTGGTAAAACTTAATTTAAAAAACTATCTTCCAATCGTTTGGAGGATAAAATTATTTATTATTATATATATATATTTTTAAAAAATGATATATAAAATTTTTCAATAGTTTAGTGGATTCTATAAATTTTAAATTCAAGAAAATTCTCTAATAGTTGAGTAGAATTCATGAATTTATTTTGTAAGGATTTTTACCTTTTTAATTTTTTTTATTATTGTATTTATTATTTTTTGTTTTCAGAAAAGAAAATTTTTTTTTATTTTTTGCAAAATGTTTAATTACTTAATAAAAGTAAATGAATAATAAAATCAATAAAATAAATAGAAATTAAAAATAAAATAAAATAATCAAAATCAAAATATAGGGTAAATATATAAAAAGAAAATAAAATAAAAAAATGAAATAAAAATAGAAAAAAGGAAAATTTGCAATTCGGGTCGAGTCAGAGCATAGGTCAACATGTGGGTTGATGGGTCACGTGTGGATCCTGGGCTATCCAAAACAACTTCATTTTAGGTCCTTATAAATGTTATCTTCTCCGTTTTGCCTTTGAATTTCCCTGCCTTTTCTTTCTTTAGGCCAAAAACTCTCTTCCTTTTTCTTTAGAATTTCTCTAAAATTTCAACCAAAATTGGGTTTGCCATTGACTTTTGAAAAATTAGCTAGAATTTGGTAGAAAAATTTAAATTTCTACCAAAAAATTCATCGACAAATTCAAGTGTTCTTCTCCAAAAACCCAGTTTTTTTTTCCAAAAATTCCTAAAAAACCTAGATTTTTCCAAATTCCTTTAGGAATTTTCCAACAACTTTAATCAAACTCCAAAAACCTAAATCTAAACCCAGAAATTTCCACTCAAATCCTAAATTCCTAACCAAAAATTCCATAAACTAGCTCCCGGAAAAATTTCCCAAAATTTTAACACCCTTAGCCTGTTTCGCCTAAAGTCCACCGTCCCTTCCGAAATCCACCTCTAGTACTATGTGATGTTGGTCCCATTTATAGACCACTTCCAGTGCGAATTTAGGGATTGGACAGATTTCAATCCTAAGATTCAAGCCTGGATTGATTCTGCTCGAGTAAGATTCCTAGCAACATTTTTGGGTGAAACTAAAAGCCTTTGATTTGGATACTGAATTACAACTTTTTGATCGAATTAATTGAAATCAGATTGTCAGTTTCCTAAATCTACAATAACCAATTGGAAGAAAAGAAAGGAAGAAAAATAAAGTAAATAATAATAATAATAATAATATACAATATACTAATAATAATAATGATATGATAATAATAAAACACAGTGCAATTGACTCCGGACATGGTCCGATTGACCTCTGACACAGATGGGTGTCTACAGCACAAATTGTAATATATAATTTTCATATAAAATATAACACATATTATACAAATATACAAATTATTAATTCTAATATCATTCATAGATAGACGTAAGAAAAAATCAAGAAAATTGATTCAAAATTATAGTTTCGATTCGATTCAGATCAATTTTTTTCTTATTCAGTTCAAATTAAGTTCATATATTAAATATATGTTAGTTTTCGGATAAGAAAGTGAAAATAGAAAAAAAAAAAACTCAACCAAATTATATAATTTTTATTAGCTTTTAGATATTTTAAATTTTTATAAAATAAAAATAATTATTTTATATCAAAATCTGTTTAAATATATTAAAAATTAATATTAAAATAATATATAAAGACAAAAATTAAATTTCAAAAACAACTGAATTGAATTGGTAAAATTCAGTTTAATTCAGATCAGTTTAAATGAAAGATCAATTCAGATTCGAATTGAATTTTTAAAAATTATAATATTATGCATTATCCAAAAAATCAAACTTAATCTAATCTGATCTAAATCATTATTCCTCTTATTCACATATATAAATAAATATTGTTTATGACTAAAAACTTGGATAGACTTGTTTATTAATCAAGTTAGGATGAACTTGGGTAGGACCTAGGCATGATATTAACAAGCTTTAGGCTTATCTAGGTTCGATTTGGCCCGAAATATGAGTATAATTTTGTCACACAAGTCAAGCTCTTTTTTGAAAGTAATTGTTCAGATTCATCCAACTCCGTTCATATTTCAAATTTAAAAAATAAAATATTTTTCATAATAAATATTAACTATGAAAAATAAATTCTAAGAAAACAACTTTGTTAATTTAATTTATTGAATAGAATAAATACATGTAGATACATGATATTACTACGAATACATACATTATTTAATTATATATTTAATTTTATATAATATAATTATAAATATATTTCAAATCAGAGTTGAATCTTAAGTGTTGTGTCTAAAATCTAGCTTGCTTTTTAAACTAATCTAACATTTTAATCTAAATTTATTTTACAAGCTTAAAATTTGAGTTAATAATATGTGTAGTCTCTAAACTTTGGAGTAGATTTGATATTGGTTCTTAAACTTTGAAAAGTTTTAATTGAGTTCTCAATTGTCTAAATGTGTTTCGTCTATTGGACTGTCTAAATTGATAGTAAATCCTATGTGGCATGACACATAATCATCCAAATTTGTATTATGTGGAATTTTTCAAAGGTCTGAACATATTACATGGAGAAAGACCAAAACTTGTTTTTTCTCATCGTTCTCCTTTTTTCTTCCCATTCTCTTCATTTTCATCACCAAACTTTTCCATCCCAATCAAATCGCCACCAAGTTCTGACCTTTGTAACTCCATAAGTTCCGTTATCAAATGCCAAAACTTTCATGTCCAAATCTTTATCAAAGGCCACAAGTTTCTTCTCCTCACTTTCCTTATTATCTAAGTAGTGCTTTTATAGCTTTTTTGCATCCAAAGTAACCAATTTCAAAAATGCAATCAAAAGCTAAAACTTTCATGTACAAATTTTTAGATTCCAACAAAGATAAAATTTTGAAAATTTTTTCATTACTGACAATTTCGTTCACAAAGAGAGATTTAGTAAACTTAATAAGCTTACATAAAACTTTCAGGCAATGGGCGGCTATACAAAATGGTGCGTCTTCTCGAATCTATTTTCTACAATTCGGGTCGTTAAGGACTAACTGTAAAATCAAAAGCCTCCGAAAAGGCTTTTAATTTTAGGACTAATTCTGTAACTTGTAATTAAACTCTTATGAGACTTGATCTTTGAATTGAGCGAGTAATCGAACTAACTCGTCCTTGTTCTTTCATGGCTTTTTCAAACCCTTTATCAAGCTCTCGATGCTCACATGATCAATCTAGACTTGAATCCCGTACTCAATTGAACCAGCGACGCAAGAGATAAAATGAGTTGAGACTTGACGAGTCAAAAAGTTTTTGAGACTGTAACCATGAGTCCTTTTAAGGGTTTCGATAAAGGTTTTGAGCTTAACAAGGTATCAAGAAAGAGTAAAGAGATATGGGTCTTTGAAGATGATTGAATCAGATTCTCTTTCAAGTTCAATGAGGGCTTTAATGGCAAATGCATGATGTGTAGTCAAAGTTTAATTTTTTAATCTTTTGTCTTTTTTGTTTTATGATTTATTTAAAAATCATTAAAAAATTTCACATAAACTGTTCAAATAATAAAAAAATTTCACGTAATAAAATTTGAAAAATTATCTATCATGTCACATAAAATTTATTGTCAATTTAGATGATTTAACAAACGAAAAAATCATATGGACATATATTTAGATAATTGATAATTCGATTAAAATTTTTTAAAGTTTAAAAATTAATATAAAATCTTACTTAAATTTCACCCAAATTTTGATATAACTCTTAAAATTTATATCAAATCCTCTCAAATTTCATTAAGAGCTTTTGAACTTAAAAAGAGACAGCTGGTACCTTAGATAGATCTAGTCGTTGATTAAAGGGTTAAAGGAAGTTGAGAAAATTGTTTGGCATGCGCGCAAAAAAAAAAAAACAAGAGCGTGGGGGGAATGTGTTAGGAGATAGATTGTGCATGATTTCGAGTGGGAGAGTATAGCTGCGGTGACAAATCAAAACCAAAGCCCAAAGTTCCCCAACCTCACAAACTTCCCTGCCTGGCTGCTGCCGCCCACATCAAATCCACATTTCCATGTTCTTTCGCTTTCCCATGTCCTTGTTTGAAATTTCCACCCCCTTCGCTCCAGGGCAACTAGGCAAAATCAAACCCAAAAAACCAAAAAAACAGAAGTTTATACTTAATGTACAATGTAAAATTTTATATATTATTAAAAAATTAAAAGATATTATTCTATTAATAAGTTAATATTAATTTTTAAAATAAATATATAAAAATTAATATTTTAAAAAAATTTATAATATTATTATTTTATTTATTTTATTAATAAAATAAAATAATTTGATTCATTAATAATATATAAAATTATAAAAAATTATTTAATATACTAAAAATAAAATTTTAAATTTTACAAACAAAATTAAGATAATAACACATATAATTTTAAAAAATAAAAAAAGTTAATTAAAAAAACATATTATTATTTTAATTTTATTTATAAAATTAAAAACTTACACTATATATATAAAATAATTTTTCTAAAATTATACACCGTCACGTATAAACCTAACAAAAAAAAATCGTAATAATCTCGCGAACCAGTGACTACAAAGACTTTCTCTTTCTCTCTCCATTTTGGCTTGCTCTTCTTTTGCAATTAATGAATCACCCACTTTCCTGCGCTTACTCCTAGCAATTATTATCACCTCTCTTCCGTCTCTCTCTCTCTCTCTCTCTCTCTCTCAAGTCTGGTGCTCTGCTTCTGCTACTTCCAAAGAAAGTGAAATTTTGCAAACAACAAAGGTACTTTCTTTCGTTTTGGTTTATGTCTTTGCTAAATGATAACATTAAACACTTGTCATTCACTGAATTTCGTCTGTCAACTACGTTTTTGTTCCTGGGTACTCTTTGGACCGTTTATTTAGCTAAACTAAAACATTAGCCATGCAACAAAGCCTCTAGCTTGTTGTAAGCTTGTAAGATCCTTTTTCCTCTCTTCTGAAAACTTGAGGTAAAAGCACAAAACAAAGAAAAAAGAAAAGAAGAAAGATTTTTATTTTTGAATTTCTAAGAGTGGAAGTCTCAACTTTCAATTCTGCTTTATCTCTGCATTTTATTTTATTTTATCTTATTTTTGATTTAACAGAACAGTGAATTTGATTTTTCTGTTCTGTTATTTATGTAATATTTGATCTCTATTGTTCTCTTTTTTGTTTTCTCTTGATTCTGTTTTTGACAAAACCATTATTTTGTTTCATCTTTTTCTGCTTTTTCCGTTTTTGCTTAATCTCCTTTTGGTTTTTCCCCAACTCACTATTCAAATTTTGAAACGATTTTCTTCCCTTTCCTTTGTCTCTCTAAAAGAGTTTTACGCTCTGTTTGGTCTGAGAAAAGTAAAATCAGCTTCGTCTTTTCTTTTCCTCTAGTTTTTAACTTTATCTTTCTTGGTTTTCTCCTGATTCCATTCTTTATTTCAAGCTTCATTAGGCTCAGTTTTTTTTTTTTTTTGGCCCCATTTAAGTAAAATTTTCAATAATCTAATATTTGGTTCCTAGCGTGTAATTGCTTTTCCTTTAGTACGTTTTTTCAGCTAGCCCTTAGTCTTTGTGATCTCTCTTCTGAGTTGTCTTTGTTAACAAAGAGAAGGTAACCTTCAAGCATGATCTTCAAATTTCAATGCTTTTAATTTTTGTTTTCTCCGCAATATCTCACTCCAGCAATACTACTCGTAATTTCCAACCATAAATGTGCCATGGAGATTAAAAAAAGGACTTTGTTTTTTTTATAGGCTTCTGTGAATGAGAGGTTTGCTTGATGTTTGTTAAGTAAGATCTTGTTGGATTTACCTTTTTTTCTTTGTTCTTTGTTTGAAAATGCAAATGGGTTTTCATTGTAATTGAAAATGCCGCTAGGGAAAATAAATTGTTTACTTTAATTGTTCAAAAACAAGACATTGGTTCTTGTTTTGTGGTTTATTCCTGGTTTATATGCTCCTTGGTTTGCTGATTTTCTGTCTTTACCACCTTTCCTTTTTCTATAAGTAGTTTGTGGACCAATTACATAAGGTCTCACCAACTGAATTGTATCAATGTGTTTCTTATCAATGACAAACTATTAGGACAGACTTTAAGTATATTATATTCTGGTGTCACATGGAAGATTTTTATATGCATTTTGTTCAATTTTATAGATTTTTTTACATGCAGCCATACCTGGAACTGGGGAATAAACAAATCAATTAACTAATATCCTCTTCTTTTGTTCAGCTGGTTTTGTCATCGATCTACGGAACCCTTAATGGATTATATTTGACCTGAGTTTTAAAGATTCCCAGTTTTGTAAATTGAGGTGTAAAGTAGCCTGTGATCTGATGTGTGGGAATCCTTGGTGTGATAGTATTTGGCTTGGTTGACCATTCCAGCAACTTCATATAATTTCACGTGAGATCTGTTCTGGCTCAAGGAGGAACCTTGTCCTTTAAACTTCATCAAATGTCTTCTTACTGGAGCTGAGGAAATGGGGTGTTGTGTCTCCACTAGTAGTCGGAGTACCTGCAGTACCAGGAGCCGTGGGGAGGCAGTTTCTCCTACGTGTTTTGAAATTGGATATTGTGGGCAGAAGAGAACCAAGAGAACATTCTCAGATCGTGTTGTTGGATTGCAGCATTTACCCTCGTTACCCAATCGGATTTTCACAAATGGAAAGAGCAGAAGTTCTTGCATATTCACTCAGCAGGGTCGCAAGGGAATAAATCAGGATGCCATGATTGTATGGGAAGTATGTTCTAGATGTTAATTTGAATTTGAGATCCTTTAATTCTGAGATTCGTTTATATTTTGATGTTACCAGCTCAACGACATTGATAAAATTAAAATTCCTGTAGGATTTCATGTCAGAAGATGTGACTTTTTGTGGTGTTTTTGATGGCCATGGTCCACATGGTCACCTCGTTGCTCGCAAAGTGAGAGATGTCCTGCCCCTTAAGTTGCTCTCCTCTATGCATTCTTATCAGTCAAGGCAAAATGGGTCAGGCCGTAAATGTTTCAAGGGGAATTCGAAGAAATCAGATGGTGGAGATTCTGAGAGGGATGGCTCTGCTGACGAGGACCGATTAAATTCTTTATGGAGGGAATCATTCATGAAGTCATACAAGGCCATGGATAAAGAGTTGAGGTCCCATCCTAATTTGGACTGCTTCTGTAGTGGTAGCACTGCTGTCACTATAGTGAAACAGGTATGACAGAAGCACTGCGTGCTTCTCATCATCTTCGTTTTTTCTTGCTTTCATCTAATTCATGTGGGTTGATTTTACTATTTTAGGGTTCCAATCTTTTCATGGGATATATTGGGGATTCTCGAGCAATTATGGGATCTAAAGACAGCAATGATTCAATGGTGGCAATCCAATTGACAGTTGATCTGAAGCCTGATTTACCTAGTACATCTCAAACAAATTTTTTCTTTACCTTGTGGGCATACTTAAACGGATATAACATACTAAATGCTAAATTTAAATGCTTCAGGGGAAGCTGAAAGGATTAAAAGGTGCAAAGGTAGGGTCTTTGCATTGCAAGATGAACCTGAAGTTCCTAGAGTATGGTTGCCATTTGATGATGCACCTGGGCTAGCAATGGCTCGAGCTTTTGGGGATTTTTGTTTGAAGGAATATGGTGTTATCTCTATACCTGAATTTTCCCACCGTTTCCTTACGGAGAGAGATCAATTTATTGTCCTTGCGTCAGATGGGGTAATTTTTTCAACTCTGATTATCCATTTATTTGTTATATGTGAATTTTGTTCCAATATCTTTGGTTTATTGAGGGTTGACCAGAACATTTTCTGCTGTATGTTAAATACTATAAAGTTAAAAAAAGGAAGCTCAAATGCATAAAAGAGTTGCAGACAGAACAAGAGTGGCTTACTTAAAGAATCAAAATTTAAACACAGAGTCACCAATGTAGATCAAAATGAGTACATACATTAAACAGTGTATTTATATATCACAATATAGTGCATGGTAATTCTCAGGCGACTTGGGCTGTATTTATCTCGCATGTTACAATAAAAATTTTATAAATGCTTCAACACATAAAAGGGTAGAATAAAAGATCAATACAAAACTTTTACCATCCACTGGCAACCGCTGCAGGAAAGAACTATGATAAAATTAATCCAAAGGAGCAAATCAGTGTCTTTTTGAGTTGCATGGTCCATGGCTCATAGCGATTGTTGAATAAGGCCTCTTCAAGAAATGCAGGCTTGCCATGATAAGGCAAAAAGTAAGATAATTAGATTTTTCTCCTTAACATTAACATTTTTATTTCAGGTTTGGGATGTATTGAGCAATGAAGAGGTGGTTGAGATTGTATCCTCAGCGCCTACCCGGTCATCAGCTGCCAGGATTTTGGTCGACTCAGCTGCACATGAATGGAAATTAAAGTACCCTACATCAAAGATGGATGATTGTGCTGTTGTTTGCTTATTTTTAGATGGGAAAATGGACTCAGAATCAGATTACGAGGAACAGGGCTTTTCTTCTGCAACCCTTCAGAGTAATCATTCTGGTAATGCAGTTGAATCTGACGATGGCCAGAAGTCGGAGCCATCTTTGCAGAGGAATTTTACCGTTAGATCATCAGAAGAAAGTGATAGTTACGGAAGACAACCACCAGGATTTGAAGGAAATGTCGATACAGTTGCAGGTGAAGATCAAAACTGGTCAGGCTTGGAAGGTGTCACACGAGTGAACTCACTTGTCCAACTTCCAAGGTTTTCCGAGGAAAGGCCAAACCCATAAATTTCGTATTGCCTGGTACGAAACTGGACTGGTTTTGTTGTAATATTTTGGCTTTCTAGCCTACATTAGATCCAAGGAAAGTCCTTGTGAATTGGTGATATTGTGCAAGTGAATCCATTGCCACAGCAATTTGTTCTGTTTGTATTGCACCGAAGATTTTAGGAAAAATGAAAAGCCCTGTCGAAGTTGTTGCACTTGATCGGTACAGTTCTGCAAAATATGATTCCACTCCCTTTAAATTATCCAAATTCTGGAGGCGATCAATCAGTTTGTATTACCCATGGTTAAAGCCAGATAGAAAACTGAACTGCATGCGGTCTGAATGTGGATTTCTGCTCCTAGCGCCTTCTAGCCCTGCCTTCTCTAATCTCAGCCAAAAATATGAAATGGATAAAGAAAGAATGATTAATTCATATTTTGAAAATTTCTTCAAAGCCACACCGTGCAATGATGAGTTGAACTAGTTGACTAATTTGGATGATCAACTACTGACATTTCTTGGGCATTGGGACGTTGAAGATATTTCAACCCAAAAGGTACTCAGACGGAGAGCATATTCAGATGTAGATGAGATGAACTTTAGGCTACTGTTTTTTTTCAACGAGGTGCATCACGATTCACGTGGTTGTCCTACATACAGGCGCTGACCAATTATAGCTGTAGACCCTGATTTAAACCCTCTGCCACTAAATTTATTGCATTTATTTCACTGACTCAAATAGGGGAGGTTCTGCAATTTCCATCAGTATCTTGAAGCATACTGAATCATAAGAAGAAAAGCACAATTCATGATGGGTTTAATTAATGTTTTAGAAAATTCGAACTGTCCAATCTTAACAGTTGCATATATTGGTTTATGGACTTCACAATACTCTAGTATATATTGAAAAGAAAAATTAAGTATAGCGAACCGGGTTTTGTTCAGTTGAGTCTTTTTAACTGAATTATGGGTAAAAACTAAAATCATAGTAAGTGCAAGTTAAATCAGCATTACTTCGGTAAATCAATAGAGAATGTTCATCTCACCAAGATTTTTACACGCATTGAATATATTCATTGCCTCCTTGTTTAGTTGGTGGCGTTTAACTTTTTCTGACATTAATTTGTATGTCACCATAACACAAAGACGCTCCAATTAGGGAACGCCAAATGCAGGCAATAAAAATAACTTGACGTTGTCGAGAATGATTCTGATAAAGTATATATTCACTTCAACAGACAGAAATGAGAATAATCAAATTATAGCTATGAAATAGAAAGTCAATGAAGTAGAAGCAAAAATTTGCTTTTAAACGGCTTTTTACTAGAAAAAGCGCCAACCCATCTCGAATTCTTCAGCTTTTGTCAGCTACTGAAGGAACGGATGCTTTGTTTAGGAAAAAGGCTTATACATACTATTATGCACTGGCAATAGCTTTTAAGAGGAAAATCTCACGACTCACGGCAAAATGGCACCCAGCTCGACAACACCTAAGCCACCTAACCTTCCTATGCATGCTACATAATTACATGCTGTTTTCTGTTTTTAGCAACGTCTCCTTCAATAGTATTTCACAATGGAACCTCCTTTAACTCACAGCCAAATGATCAACCAACTTACTTAAACCTCGCTTATAACTATAAGAAGTGTTATTCTCTTCCCCCTTTGCACCATCCCAGAACCAATCCTGTCTCTTGACTGTTTACTCTCGATACTTCTCTGGTAATGGCTTACAAAATTAGTTCCTTGCTTCTTGCTCGAGTTTTCCTCATTAGCATCTGTTTGCTATTGCAGGGCAAGCAGTTGCAACACGTGACATCCCAAGATAAATTGAATGATGCTCAAATGAAACAGCCGGAGTGGCTGATTGAACATGATCACAGCGTGCTCATTCCACGCATTGGACGAGTGATGCTGCCAACAGTTTTCAAACCTCACAATCGATACACTGGCAGCGCTGGTGGCAACATTGGTGGCAGAACTGGTGGAACTGGCAATATTCATGGTGGTGATGACACATTTGTTCCAAACCCTGGTTTTGAGGTGCCAATTCCTGGCTATGGTGCTGAAGGTGAAGGAAAACACAGACATCCTTGAGCATACTTGGCTATGAACCTTTCAATCAATTAGAGACTAAAGGCAATTAGATCTAGATGCGGTCTTTTGGTGTCCCCTTGTGTTCAGTCCAGTCCAGTGTATTCAAGTGTTTAACGTGATATGAATTCGTGTTTGTCTTTTTAGCCCAGCCTAGGATTTATAATTCTTTTTGTTTCAGGATAAAACAATACGTGCTAGATGTAAGCGTTTTAGTTGTCATTTCCATTGGGTCCAGAGCCTTCTTTGCATTTTCCACTAGGATAACTATTTGTTGCCAAGCAATCATACATTTCAATTTCCAAATTAATTATGGTCCACGCCTGTTACCCTGCTTTCTTATTTGATCATTTTAGATCCTACGGCTGAACCTGCCTCTTACTTTGCAGGCTTAAATATACTGATTTGGTCATTTGAAATGTCAAGGATGATTTGGCGCTGAGCAGTACCATTGGTCAGCATCAATGTACTCAAATGTGTCGATTGAGAGGGAAAGGAAGGAACTTAATATTCTCCAAAAAGTATGCTCAGCTAATGGTAGTTCATTAACTGCAATGAGATAGGATAAATGGTGGTATTTAAAAATATTCATAGCCCTAGAACATTCTTTTCCTTGTCAATAACTGAAATGTTAATCACTTTTAGATCAGAATGCTTTCAAATTTAAGAGTGCTAACCACTGTCAGTAAGCAAAAATGAAGCAAAGCCATTTCAAAAGGGACAGCTGAAGAAAATGCAAAGTCGCTAATCATTGACAATGAAGAAACAGTTAGACCCTCCTCAAGCCTTCAAACAGACAATTGATAGATCAATGTACCCAAAAGAGGAAAAAAGGGAACATCATGAAGAAAAATACAAGTACATACATAGTCCACTTAAAGCAGATCAGTCATTTGGTTCCTTTCAACTGTTCTTTTGCCTCCACCTTTCAAATCAAGTAAATTGTTAAAAGGAGTGCTTAGCTGCAACATCAAGAAAGCTAACTACTAGTTCCACATGAAGAAATCTTCTATAAGAATAAAATTTGAAGTACTTGGAGGGAGTGAAATAAATGTGCATTGGATCAGACAACCACCATCGATTCATCAGAAACATCAATCTATAATTCGAATTAAAAAAATAATTGTTAACATTTCATTTTAACTCAAAATATATACCATAATTGAATGAACATTAGGCGGTTTTGAAACAATTAAATCTAACTTATTCCCAGGACCACTGACTGAAATTACATTCATCATTCCCCTGAAACAACTAAAAAAGCACAAAAAATTGGACATAATTATTCGAAGATAAAGAATAAGCAGCGAATGAAAATAATCTTCTAATAATTTCGTCCCAAATTGTCATTGCTCACGTAATTTTCAGCCAAGAATTGCGGAAAAATCTTGTCATTGTTATGTTCTAAATCGAACTTATATTTGAAGAAAGATAACATAATTGTACCAATGATTCAGAATAATTAAAGAACATAATCTCTGGAACAAACCGATGTTTGAAAATGTCCCCATCTTTGGAACTTTAAACTGAAATGTAAAGAATTATCCTGAAGAAAAGAGTGAAACAGTTGCAATTTATAAAATGGGCAAGGAAAGATTATGAAATAAAAAAACTATAAAAGAAATGGCTAAATGGGTATTTAATAAAAGAAAGAAAAGTGTGAGATGAATAATCAAAAGAAATGAAGCATCTTGAAAAGAATGAAAGTGAGGAAACCGAAGAAGACGAAGAGGAAAATGTAGTCCACCGTTACGAACAACTTGGTTGACCCATGATTTCCTTTCTTCTTCTTCGACTCATCTAATGCTTCGAGTTGCGCCATTTAGCCAAGGTATCTAGGGATTTCACTGGAAAAAATAGAATTTGGGGATCTGGACTTTGGGCTTGGCATTTTATAGGGAGGGCTCGTGTTGGCACCGCCAACATTTACTCAACGCATCATTCTATTTTTAATATCTTATTTTTTATTCCTCGCATCTTGAAAGTTTTTAAATGGATCTCACTTTTTTTTGTCCTCCGCACCTCAATTTTTTTAAAAAATATTTTTTATAAGTGAAATTATTTAAATATTATTTTTATAATTATTCAAATATTTATTAATTTTAAAAAAATTATAACACTTTTCAAAAATATATTTTTGAGAAATCATAAGATTTCTCGAAAATATATTTGTGAAAGTGAATAAGCCAAATTTTATAAAAAAATTATAAGAAATGAAGTTTTGTTAAAATTATTTATAAATTATCGTAATAAAAAAGTTACTATTAAAAATAAAAAATTTTAAAATTAATACAAAATTACTTTTAATATTTTAATTGTAGAAATGTATAAAAAATATCAATGTTTTTGAGCTAATTAAATATCTTGAAATTTTAATAAAGATAATCATCGTCTTGGTTGTGAAAAATTCAAACTAAGTCTTGAACCCATTAGTCAATGAAAGCACAATTGGTTGAGTTAAATTAGGAACTTAACTCGAAGTTGGAGATTTTCTTAATCAGCATTACATGCTCAAGAATAAGGAGTTAGTATAATTAATATTACTGAATACTATATAATTTTATCAAAATTTAATATTTTAATTAGAAAAACCTATTGTAATAAGTAAATAGAGAGATTTTTTTCAAGTAGTTCAGTTTAATTAAAGTTATTATAAAATTTTAATAATTGATAAAAAATATTTATTAAAAAATAATAAATTTCAAATTTATAAAAAAAAGATTTGCTATTTTATCTTTAATTTAATTAAGCTCTCATAAGATATTTTTTCTTTAAAATGAAAAAATTTTCTTTAAAATGAAAATTGTAAAAATAACTTTTTTTGTTAATTTTAAAATTTATTTTTTATAATTTTTTTATTACATTTATTTACAAATAATTTTAAATAAATTTTTTTTTAATTTTTCATAAGATTTCACTTTTAACACTTTCGAAAATGTATTTTTTAGAAGTGTTATAACTTCTCAAAAATGCATTTTTGATAGGTGTTATGACTTTTTGTAAAATAGATTTTTGAAAGTTATAAAGTTTGTAAGAATAGTATTTTAATAATTTCACTTATAAATTTTTTTTTTAAAAAAAGGTAGGGTGTATAGTACAAAAATTGGATTGCATTTAGAATTCCTCTCACACTTTACACCAAAAATACAAATTTCCTTCAAACCCAAACACCTCATCTCTTTTTCCTCACACCTCAAACCTAAATCGTAAACCTTAGGATTTAAAGCGCCAAACTAAGCCAAATTTGAAGGAAATTTCATGCATTTGAAGTTGAAAGCATAAAATTAGAGGTAAATTGTTTGTTCTTTTTACTTTTTTATTTAATTTCGTATTTACTTTCGTAAGATTTCATGTTGAAATATTTGGTGTGATTTAAAACTTTCAAAAATAAATTTTTGAAAGTTTTTAAAGCTCCTAAAGGTTTCTGAAAGTTATTAAAGCTCTTAAAGGCTTATAAACATTCATTTTCAAAAAATATTAAAAATTTTCGAAAATAGATTTTGGTATATTGAAAAAGTTTTCCAGATCTTAATGGTTAAAAGAATCATGAAATAATCAACAAGAACTGGTACCAAAGATTGTTCATGCAAATCTCTCAGATTTTCAAAGCTAAAATTTATTACAAATTTTATTATAGATCTTCAAAGATTGTTCATTATAGGTGATTTTTGTTAGGACCAAAAATTCTTGGGACTGAACTGACTTTTCTTGAGTACCAATAAAAGTCACTTATAATGAATAGTTCTTGAGACCAACAAAA